CCATCCATCCATCCATCCATGCATGTGTAAATTACAAGGAAAAAATATACAAATAAAATAAAAAGTATCTTAACTTATAGTAATATAGTTAAGTTAAATATATAAAGTTTTAAGGTGTTTAGCAAAATGAAAATAGAAAATGGTTATCCTAACTAACCTAAAAAAAGAGAAAAATTTGTCTGACTTTTTGTAAAGAAAGAAAAGTAAAAAGGTTATTTGTCTTTATACTGTGTGTAAAATATCCATTTTACCCTGTATATGTTTGTTTTTATTTTAATATTGGACTTTCATAAAATGTTGTATCTTTGGTACTTTTATCTATTAAACCTGGAAGTGTCAATGAGATTCAGAGACTCTTTCCTGACCAGGTCCAAAAGTAAATCATCATTTTCCTCTTTTTTTTTTTTTTAGAAGACACAGCCATAAAGAAGCCTCCAAAGGACGGCAAGGAAGAGGAGGCCACTACTATTGGAACAAAAAAGTATATCAAAGAAAAGAAAGAGGAAAAGGATATTCCAAAAGAAAAAACTGAGGTAAAAAGACCCACCAAAGAAAAGAAGGAGCATAAATTACCCCAGAAAAAGAAATCTCCCAAGACAGAGATATCCCCCAAAGATGAAGAGAAAAAGAAAACCTCAAAAGAAGAAATAAAGGTAAAGAAACTTTCCAAGGTAAAGAAAGAGGAAACAAAGGTAGAAAGATATCCCAAAGAGGAAACAGAAGAAAAGGAACATATAAAAGAAGTAAAAATAGAAACTTCTATGAAAAATAGGACAGAAAAGACCCATACAAAAGCAAAGAAAATCGAGAAACCCAAAATCATAAAAGAAGTAAAGAAAACTAATAAGGAAGAAGAGCCACATGAAGAAGAAATAAAGCTCAAAGAGCTTACTAAAGAAAAACTAGAAGCAGATAAACCTCACAAAATAGAGAAAGACAAGAAAACTGATGAGGAGGACAAGCTTCCTAAAGAGGAAACAAAGCTTGTGAAGCCTCCAAAAGAAGAGATAAAGCAAGAAAAGCCTGCCAGAGAGGAAATAGGGATCAAGCAGTTTGCTAAAGAAGACATCAAAATTAAAAAGCATCTGGAAAAGGAAATAAAGAAGGAGAAACATCCCAAAGAAGATTTAAAGATTAAGAAGCCATCTAAAGAAAAAATAAAGGCAGATAAGTCTGTTGTAGTTGAGACGACTTTTGAAGAGAAGAAAGTAAAGAGGAAACTTCCTAAAGAGGAAAAAATGGTAGAAACAGCTCAAAAAGTTAAGATGGAGAAGAAATCTCACAAAGTAAAGGAAGAAGATACAAAACCTGCTCAAGAAGAAATAAAGATTGAGAAACCTACTATAGAAAAGAAAGATGAGAAGAAACCTCATGAGGAAAAGACACATCCAAAGGAAGAAATTAGCACAGAAAAAGAAGAAACAAAAATACAAAAGAAACATCCAAAAGAAGAACTAAAGACTGAAAAACCACCTGCCGCAAATAAAACTTCCACAGAAGAAATAAAAGTGGATGAAACTAGTATGGAAAAACCTCCCAAAGATCAGAGAGAAGTGAGACATCACGTTGAGAAACCCTCCAAAGAACAGAAAGATGAGAAACTACACAAAGAAAAGAAGGCTACCAAAGACAAAATAAAAGTTGACAAACCACCCAAAGAAGAATCAAAGTTTAGGAAACATCCCAAGGAAAAGGAAGACAGGAAACATCCCAAAGAAGATATACATGTGGAGCTTCCTTCTACATTAAAGAAAGAAGAAGCAAAAGCAAATAAAACTCAAGAAGGTGAGAAGAAACTCGTAAAAGATGATAGAGAGAATGTAAACCTTCCAAAAGAAACAACTAAGGCGGAAAAACCTTTCAGAACCAAGAAGGAAAGTAAACCTACTAAAAAAGAAATAAAGGCAAGGAAACCTCTGAAAGCAGAAAAAGAAGTAAAGAAATCAATTGAAGACGACATAAAATCAGAAAAAACTCCCAAAGAGGATAAACAAGAAAAGGAGCCCCCAAAACAAAAGATTAAGATAGTAAAAGATAAGAAAGACCGGGATGAAGAAAAGAAACCACACAAAGAATTAAAAGAGAAGAAGAAACCTCCTAAAGAAATAAAAGAGAAAAAGGATCTCCCTAAAGAAAAGGAAAAGATAGAGAGGTATAAAAAAGAACAGATAAAGGTTGAGAAGCTTCCGATTAAAGGAAAAGGGGTTGAGAAGCCCTTAAAAGAAAAGAAAGCAGAGGAAAAAAATCTCAAGGATGAAATAAAGGTAGAAATATCTTTAAAACAGGAAATACCAGTTGATACGCAACATAAGGAAGCAACAAAGGAACAAAAGCCTCTCAAAGAAAAGAAAGATGAAAAGAAGCCAATTAAGGAAGAAATAAAGGTTGAGAAGCCTCCTGAAGAAGAAAAAAACATTACAAAGCCTCTCAAAGAAGAAATAAGAGTGAAAAAGGCCAAACAAGTGGAAATAAAGATCCAGAAACAGGATAAAGAAGAAATAAAAATTGAGAAGCCTCCGAAAGAAAAGGTCAAATCTAAGGTGCCTCACAAAAAAGAGATGAAGATGGGTGAGATAAAGAAAACCAGTAAAGAAGATATTAAGGATAAAGAAGAAATTAGGGAGGACAAACATCCGAGAGAGGAAATAAAGGTCAAGAAGCGTTCCAAAGAAAAAAGAAAGGTGGACAAGTCTCCCAAAATAGACACAAAAGTTGAGAAACCTCACAAAAAGGAATTAAAGGTCGAGAAGCTTCCCAAAGAGGAAATAAAGTACAATGATTCTCTCAAAGAAGATGTAAAAGTCGAGAAACCTCCCCAAAAGGAATTAAAGGTCAAGAAGCCTCCCAAAGAGGAAATAAAGGTTGACAAGCCTCTTCAAGAAGATGTAAAAGTGAAGAAACCTCACAAAAAGGAAATAAAGGTTGAGAAGCCTCTCAAAGAGGAAATAACAGTCAAAAAGCCTCCCAAAAAGGAAACAAAGGTGGTGAAGCCTTCCAAAGAAGATGTAAAAGTTGAGAAACCTCAGAAAAATGAAGTAAAGGCCAAGAAGCCTCCCAAAGAAGATGTCAAAGTAAAGAAGCCTCCCAAAGGGGAAATAAAGGTTGAGAAGCCCCCCAAAGAAGATTTAACGTTCAAAAAGCATCCCAAAGAGGAAACAAAGGTGGTGAAGCCTTCCAAAGAAGATGTAAAAGTTGAGAAACCTCAGAAAAATGAAGTAAAGGCCAAGAAGCCTCTCAAAGAAGATGTCAAAGTAAAGAAGCCTCCAAAAGATGAAATCAAGGTTGAGAAGCCCCCCAGCAAAGATGTTAATGTAAAGAAGCCTCATGAAAAGGAGTTGATAGTTGAGAGGCCTTCCAAGGAAAAAATAAAGGCTGAGAAGGCTCCTATAGAGGATGCTAAAGTGGATATGCCTCCCAGAGAAGATGTAAAGGTCAAGAAATCTCCAAAAGAAGAAATAAAAGTCAAGCAAACTTTAGAAAAGGAAATTAGGTTTAAAATGTCTCTCAAAAAGGAAATAAACATCACAATGACACCTAAAGAAAAAGAAAAGGTTGACAAGCCTCCCAAAGAGGAAATAAAGTTTGAAAAGCCTCCAAAAGAGAAAATAAAGATTGAAACACATCAGAAAGAGGAAATAAAGGTCAAGAAGCCATCCACAGAAGAAATAAAGGTCAAGAAGCCATCCAAAGAAGAAATAAAGGTTAAGAAGTCTCCCAAAGAGGAAATAAAAGTCAAGAAGCCTCTGAAAGAAGAAATAGAGGTCAAGAAGCCTTCCAAAGAAGAAATAAAGCTTAAGAAGTCTCCCAAAGAGGAAATAAAGGTCAAGAAGCCTCTGAAAGAAGAAATAGAGGTCAAGAAGCCTTCCAAAGAAGAGATAAAGATTGACATGCCTTTGAAAGAAATTAAGGTCAAGAAATCTCCCAAAGAAGAAATTAAGTTAGAAAAGCCTCCCAAAGAGAAAATAAAGATTCAGACACCTCAGAAAGAGGAAGTAAAGGTCAAGACGCCTTCCAAAGAAGAAATAAATATTGATATGCCTTCAAAAGAGCAAATAAAGTTTGAGAAGTCTGCCAAAGAGGAAATCAAGGAAAAGAAATCTTCCAAAGAGAAAGTAAAGATTGAGTCACCTTCTAAAGAGAAAATAAAGACCAAGAAGACTTCCAAAGAAGAGATAAAGTTCGAAAAGACTCCCAAAGAGGAAATAAAGATCAAGAAGCCACTTAAAGAGGAAATAAATGTCAAGGACCCTCAAAAAGAACAAATAAAGATTAAGAAGGCTTTCAAAGAAGAATTAAAGCTCAAGAAATCTCCCAAAGAAGAAATAAAGATTGATATGCCTCTAAAAGAGGAAATAAAGGGCAAGAAGACTCCCAAAGAGGAAACAAAGGTGGAAACGCCTCCCAAAGAGGAAATACAAGTCAAGAAATCTAAAGAGGATATAGGGGTCAAGAAGACTCCCAAAAAGGAAACAAGGGTTGAAAAGCCTCCCAAAGAGGAAATAAAGTCCAAGAAATCACCAAAAGAGGAACTAAAGGTCAAGAAGCCTGCCAAAGAGGAAATAAAGGCTGAAAAGCCGCCCATAGAGGAAGTAAAGATCAAGAAATCTCCTAAAATGGAAATAAAGGTTGAGAAGCCTCCAAAAGATGAAATAAAGGATAAGAAATCTCCCAAAGAGGAAATAAAGGTTGAGAAGCCTGCCAAAGAGGAAATAAAGGCTGAAAAGCCGCCCACAAAGGAAGTAAAGATCAATACATCTCCTAAAATGGAAATAAAGGTTGAGAAGCCTCCAAAAGATGAAATAAAGGCAAAGAAGTCACTGAAAGAGGAGATAAAGGTCAAGAAGCCTCCCAAAGAGGAAATCAAGGATGAAAAACCTGTCAAAGAGGAAATAAAGGTTGAAAAGCCACCCATAGAGGAAGTAAAGATCAAGAAATCTCCTAAAAAGGAAATAAAGGTTGAGAAGTCTCCCAAAGAGGAAATAAAGACCAAAAAGGCTTCCAAAGAGGAAATAAAGGTTGAAAAGCCACCCATAAAGGAAGTAAAGATCAAGAAAACTCCTAAAATGGAAATAAAGGTTGAGAAGTCACTGAAAGATGAGATAAAGGTCAAGAAGCCTCCCAAAGAGGAAATAAAGATCAAAAAGGCTTCCAAAGAAGAAATAAATATTGATATGCCTCCAAAAGATGAAATAAAGGGTGAGAAATCTCCCAAAGAGGAAATACAGGTTGATAAGCCTCTCAAAGAGGAAATAAAACACAAGAAATTACCCAAAGAGGAACTAAAGGTCAAGAAGCCCGTCAAAGAGGAAATAAAGGCCAAAAAGGCTTTCAAAGAAGAAATAAAGATTGATAAGCCTCCAAAAGATGATTTAAAGGGTAAGAAATCTCCCAAAGAGGAAAAACAGGTTGAAAAGCCTCCCAAAGAGGAAATAAAGGTTGAGAAGCCTCTCAAAGAGGGAGCAAAGGTTGAAAAGCATCCCAAAGAGGAAATAAAAGCCAAGAAGCCTTCCAAAAAAGAATTAAAGACTCAAGAGCTTCCTATAAAGGAAATTAAGGTTGAGAAGCTTCTCAAAGATGAAATAAGGTTGACGGAGCCTGCCAAAGAAAAGAAAGAAAAGAAATCTGTCAAGGAAGAAATAAAGATTGTTAAGCTCCCCAAAGAAATAAAGGTAAATAAGTCTCCTAAGGATGAAAAAATGACCAAGAAGGCCCATAAAGAAAAGGAACATGTGAAGAAACTTGTTGAATATGAAATAAAACTCAAGAAACTTCCCATAGAAAAGACAAAAGACAAGAAACCTTCCAAAGAAGAAACAGAGGCAAAGAAGATTCTCAAAAAACAAACAAAAACTAAACTTTCAATAGAAGAAAAATCTGAGCTAAAACTCCCGACAGGAAAGAGAGAAGTAAGGACATCTAAAGAAGGTGAGAAGAAATAAAAATTTCCTTTCAAAGAATACTTTTCTGAAAAAATAGCATTGAAGGAAAGGTTTAGTAAATGTAAGGTCAAGCCTACCCATCTGACATATACTTTATATAGCGATTTTTACATAGTGTGTGTCTATGTTTACACGAAACATCATTATATTTATCAACATTTTTCTTTTAAATAACCCATACAAAAAATTATTTTTGGTTGTTTTTGCATGAGCACACTGCCATATTACACGTGGCAGGGGGATGATCATAGCTCAGTCTTTTAAATCAAGAGCCAAATTGCAAATATTACCAAATCAATTACATTTGCTTAACAGCTAGCTGTCTCTACCTTAGCTGCTTTTTAACAAAAAAGATTTTAAAAAAGTAAGCATTTGGAAAGATTAGACTATGAGCATACAAAAAACATACAGTGATCCGAAAAACCTAAATTCATTTGTTTAATACTGGTCTACTGGTCTGTGGCTTGTTTTGCAGTAATACCAACCTAAGTTAATAGTTGAAATGTATCAACAGGCATCCAAATTAGCACTTTATCTTAATAATAGTCATAAACATTGCATTTGACTAGGGTTTTACACTTCATTCATCTTTAGAAAGCAAGGCAAGGCAAGCCAAGGCAAGGCAAATTTATTTGTATAGCACAATTCAGTACAAAGACAATGGAAAGTGCTTTACATGATTAAAATATAGGAAAATTAAACAGAATCAAAGCAAGTAGGGAAAAAAAATAAAAAATGCAGAAACAAAAAAGAACATTAAAAACAATTGGATTAAAGAAAATAAAAAAAGTTTAACTAATGATGTTTCAGTTAAATTCTTTAACTAGAACAGTTGAAGGCAATCCTAAATAAATGTGTTTTTAGTCTTGATTTAAAGGAACTCCGGCTTTCTGCACTTTTACAGTTTTCTGGAAGTTTGTTCCACATAAGTGGAGCATAGGAACTAAAGCAGTCAATGGCTGGACAAGGTCTACATAGGCTTCTCAGCTGTGTCAAAAGAAAAGATAAATGATTAAAGATGCAGATTGACTATAAAGTCTTGTAACTACCAGTGTACCTTTTTTCCTGTCCAATAATATAACCAGTAATTTACCTTTTTTTCATCTATCTTTGTTGTTTCAGAGATCAAGACCAAAAGAACAATCAAGTTTGCATCTGTCCTCAGAAAGGAGCATCTTAATGTAACAAAATCTGGTGAGACGATATCCACATTATCTGAATATTCATTGTGTATTTCATTGTGAAAAAAAATATTTTTATTTGTAATTATAAATCAAATCCTATTATTTATCTTCATCCTGTTGCTTAATGTTTTACACTTGATAACTTTTAATAAACTTGGAAAAAAAAAATACATTAAAGTACATTATCAGTTGTTTCTTCTTGTCCTTTTCAGGTGTTGAGGTTTCCAAAGAGGAATCAAAGCGTGCTCGTTCAAGAAGAGGTAAACCTATTGTATCTATTATATACAGTCTCAAGGGTTACAACCCAAGTGGATTTTATTAGGAATTTTAGTTTTTTTATTGTTAAAGTTTATTGTTGTTGACTGAAATAGAAAAGTGTTCATTCAGGAGTTCTGCTGATTATATCAGTTAATATATAAAACGTACAAAAAAGTACTCTTATACAATACAACCTATATATAACGTTGATGCAAATAGAATAAACTATACCTATTGTTAAAATCTGAACATTTTATTACGCTGAAATTAAGACTTGTGGGTAGATTCTTGTCATGTTCTTTGGGGATGCTGAAACTACTGTCTTTATGTAGAAACTGCTACTATCGCTGCAAAAAAGGCGCCAAGGGTGAAAAGTAAGAGACACAAATTGCTATGTTCATATTTGGATTTAAAATGCTGTCTTAGTACATGGTCCAGCTTTTAGTTTTGCTTAACATTTATTTTTCTTACAGCGCTAGAAATACCAGACAGAAATGTGTCCTTAACAAAGACAAAAGTGAAGGCTGTTTCACCGAGGAAAGGTACCACTTTTTAGCTAACTTACTACAAAGTTCTAATCCAGGGTTTTTTTCTCAACCATTTAAGAATAGTAATTAATAAATTATTTTAAAGTTCAATAGATCAGTTCCATGTGCTGATATTATGAACTGATCAGAACATCCTGCTAAAAGTCTTACATTGTTGATATTTGAAATTTTGCTGAATGTCGTAATAACTCCAAACCAGAAAATAAAAACCTTCCTTCTATTATACTCTAGTGGTTCTAAAGGACACAGTCAAACCAGAAAAAGTCAAAAAAGGTAATATTTGAAAATGTAATTACTCAGTTGTATATAACAATGTTCTTGTTTGATATCCAAATATTTTTATAGGTCCAATTTGATTTATCAGAAACCTGCTCTTATCTTTTTTTTTTATTGACATTATTTATTTTAGTCGCTGAGGCTCTTAAGAAGAAGGTTGAACCAGTTGCTCCCAAAAAAGGTATTTCACATTATTCACACTTCTATTTTTTTTTTTTTTTAAGTTTATCTCAGCTCAGGTTTGTTTTATACTATTGTGTCAGTGATTTTATCACGTTAAATGATACATTTTGTATGCATCTATGTAATTGAGTTCTATGTCTATATTGTTGTTAATATCAACATTGTACTAGAGCTCCTTTCTAACATTTTGCCATATAGTAAAAGAGGACATAAAACTTAAGTGTGCTCAGAAATTGAAAAGGGCTGAATGTATTATTTATTCTGCTTTCAGCACCTGTTGTTGTGGCCAAACCAGCACCTACTGAAAGGAAGAAAGGTAACAACATCAAATGCCTGTTTGTTTTGTTTTATCTCAGCTTTATTTATTTATTGCACATACTTATGGCTAAGAATAATTGATTTGTATACTTCTGCATTAACCAGGTAATGATGTGGTTTACTGTTTATTATTAAAACAACTGGTCAATCACAAACTCCATACAGATTATAATCAAATTACAACAGGGGCTGAACTTTGAATTCAGTTTTTACCATTATGTATCAGCATATAATAATTAATACATTTTTATTTCTTCTCGAATTCAGAATGGCTTTGACACATATATGGCAGCCAGTACTCTCAGTATAGTAAGATCCAAAAAAATTGTAAATTGCTTGTGCAAACTGTATAATAGACTGTATGCCCTAATTAGTCAGCAGGGACAATTGAAAAAAAGTGCAAAAGTGGTGCAGACTCTATTTATGTAGGGGATAATTTTGCATGTGCTATGGAGAGTTTGGTTGAATAACGAGGATTTATTTTGAAAGTCCCAAATGCAGCTGCAAAGTGCAACAGCACTGCACACAGATGACATTGTCTACTATGTCGAGAAGATGCAGGCATGGGAAAAAATAAACACTCTTCTCTGTTTGTGTGAAATAATAAAAAATAAAAAACATCAGGGCCTATTATAAGATTCATTTGAGGCACAAACATCAAAATAGTCTGTGGTAGGTGGATTTTTCCACTCTTGCATCTAGTCGGCGCCACTGTTTCAGTTTCTGAAAGCATTGTCACTCAGAAACCTCCATTCCATTATCTTTTCAGACATCTTGGACACACTCAGCAGCTTTTTTTTTTTTTCATTAAAGATAATAACATAATAACACAGGCAGGTGAAGAAGCCAAAGCAGACTGGTTATTTTTAGCACCATAGCCGTGTGAACAGCAGTCATAAAATATCATCATGCAAAGAGAAACTATTGGTTGCATAATGTAATATAATAATTGCGTTTGATCACTGGGTCAATGGGTAGTGGTTGCCTATTGGTTAGGGCATAGAGCTTGGAATCCTAAAGTTTTAAGTTCAACTCCCACAGACTGCCACACTGGGTCTCTGAGCAAGACCCTTAACCCCACACCGCTCCCCGGGCACCACACAATGGCATTCCACTGCTCCCCAAGGGGATGAGCTAAATGCAAAAAATTCATTAAGTTGTTCTGTACTTGTGACAGAGTAATAAAAATTAAAAAAAGATTAATTTTCTATTAATAACGTTTCAATTAATAACTTTTCTATTTGATCTGAAGATGGTGATTAAAACTGTATAGATGTAGACGCTGCTTCTGAAATCAGTTTAGGTTTGATGAATCACATTTCAGGTGGTAATTGATTATATATTTGCTTATCCTCGCAGTATTTTGCTCATTCTGATAATCACCATGTTTTGCTTTTTCATAAAGGCAAACACACTGAATTCTTCAGCATGCTGTTTTCATCATTTTCTAGATGAAAACCTATGTTCAACTGGTTATTAGATCAACTTTGTATATGTTTTTACACATGTAAACCTCAGGCCTATGAACTGCCACTTGAACTCCAGGAGTTTAACTGCATTTTTTTTTTTCGCTCATCAACATGCTATTTGTTCCTACAATATCATTTAAAGCAAATTCTACATATACAGTATACATAAATGCAATATGTTGCTGATTTGTTTGACAATGAAAGTAAATGTAGAGGAGTGCTCTTACATGCACTACATTATTATCCTTATGTGATAATGTTGATGGTGTATCAGAGTGGCTAATATGCAAAGACATTTTATTTCATAAAATTAGATTTAGCATCACTTTCAGGTTTGAAGAAACTATGGGAGGACTAATTGATGACTTTATCTCTTAAACTTTTTACTTTTTTTGTTTTTCTTACATTAAAAAACCTCAAAATTAACCAGCTATTTTTTTGCTCAAATTGTGTTTTTTAGAGAAAACTGTTGCAAAGAAGTCTATTACAGACGATGTTAAAGGTATGGTGAAAAGACACTCTTGTTACAGATATACTCTAACTAAATTATGCTCAGTAAATATGCAACACCTCTAAATATTTGTATGTTGATCATATTGTAATTTTCAGAAGACAAAGTTTTTAAAGATAAAGAGGAGCTGGCAAAGAGAGGTAAATATTTAAATCAATATTCTTCTGTACAGCTCATACCAGTTTGGCTTCCATTATTTATTCACAAAGCTGTTGTTCTAGAAAAACCTGTCGAGAAGACTGTCACAGAGGAGAAGGTTGAAGGTACCTAAGAGTTCTGCAATTTCAGGTAATAGCTTTTGTGTAAATCTGTGGATTGACCTTGTGTTCTCTTATCAACAGAGAAGCTCATGGACAGCTTCCCCATGGATGGTAAGCACAAATGCTTTTATTATTGAATAAAATACACACAATCTTTGAGCTAGGAAAATATGAAATATAATATAACAGTCATCCTGGTATGTTTCTCTACAGACGAGCTACCGTACTTCCAGTGTTTCTTCCTGGATGAGGATGAGGCTCAGTTTCCATTTTACGCCTTCTCACCTCTGCACATTTAAACCTAGTCTGTATCTAATCTAAGGTTATGTTACTGATAAGGCCAAGGTCCTGTCACACCCTGAGCTGCAGAGATATAGCAGCACCCTTTCACTGTGTCCAACAAGAGATCAGAGCGGGGTATCAGGTTAGAATGTGATGGACTGTGTCTATTTATTTATTTTGTGTTTCCAGGCCTGGTTGAACTCTGATTTTGATTACATGAAGACAGCGGCATTCCTTTTCCTTTTTTTTTAGCTTCTTTCCTAAACAATTTGTACTGCAGTAATATTGCAACTTGAACACCTGAATATTTTTTTCATATCGTATGTGCAGATGTAAAAAGTGACACGTGTAATTTACTTATGGATAAGTTAAAGTAAGTGTGCGCTGAAGCTTAAGAAACTGCAATTCACTCAAAGTTATCTTATATATTGAGCATGTACATTATAGGATGGAATGACCGTGCCCTGTATCCAAGAGTTCCCAGACGTCCTGGCAGGATAATACCTGCGATCAAGTCTTATTTAATAAAACCATCTGCACCGAGCGTTTGTTTAAAACTTGGTGTTTCAACTACTTTTCCTGACCTCTCAGGTTTGAGTTCAGGCTTATTTTCTGATGGTTTTTACCATCTGGTCTCTGAAATTCCTTTACTGACCAAACACATGACGTTACCGGCTTTGTGTACACGGAAGACTCTAGATTTACTGTATTCAGATTAAGACAAGGCAACATTGTCTGTGTTATGCTATGCACTTATAACAATGCAAGCCTATTAACTGCATATCAGCAGTGGAGAGTTGTGTCATAACTTGAACATGATTTCTTTCATCTAAACATTCTGTTATTGGGATGTTTATTGGGGGATAATCCTGATATTAGTTATGCAAAACGAAAGGGATATGCTTTTCCAGTGCTTCTGAAATCCAATGTTAATGACATTATGGTTGATTCCATGCAGAACTTGGAAATATTACCTGAGCTGTGGTCCAACTCATACCTGGCAACACAGACATTCTAAGATCCTCAGAATGAGCTTCACCAGCTAAATATGAATCATCAGATTTTGCAGCATATGCTGCGCAGAAGACAGGAGGAGTACCTGATTTACTGCACCGATGCTGAGTCGAATGTAAAATAACCTAGAGCTTTTAATGAAGAATGTAGGAAAAAGCTCTATAAAGGTTACAGAAAGGGGTACACCTTGCAGCACTACAGTTTACTGATCCATCAAGGCTGTATATGTATAGGGATGTTTAAAAAGATACCCAAAAAATACACGGTTGCTTTGTGTCCCAAGTGATATTTAGCAATCCTGTCTCTGTATATTTATAGAAGAATGTGCAACACTTTGCATTTGATAATCCTGTTTATTTTAGGGAATATTTAGCTGTTAGTCTTTAAATAAACTGTGCATGTTGAGTGTGTGTTTTATGCTCCCAGATGTTAAGCCAATTTGATATGTTCCTCCTTATCACAACTAAATGAAGAGCAGGAAAATTGGAAGCTTCGATGTTTTTAGAAGCCAGAATCTCAGATTGCATAGTGAAAAAAATAATCTTGATGTAAATAGTTTAATAAATGAATCAGAAATGTTTATATTATAAAGGAACCATTTTTGAACCATCCCTGTTAGACATGCCCTCAGTACATTTGTCAGTAAAAACAATCTGTCATTAAATAATTGCACTTTAAATGTTGGTTTTTCTTCTTTTCTTTAGTATTCCAGTTACAAGATCTCTATCACCTGCAATAAAGTATGTTTTTTTAGGGTGGCCACAACATATGATGAGCAAAAAATACCCAAAATAAATAAAGTATTCTAGCTGATGTGTCCTATAGTCTATTAACAGTACCTTTCTCAAAGTAGAAGCATTTTTATTGCCACTTTACAACCACGAACACACTCCCTTTCTTAACCCTAAATTTTGATGAGTTAGGGTGTCAGACTTGTTTTTGTGAATTACTGGGAGGGATGAAGCAGATGGTTCTCAAGTTCTTAAAAAGGAAGAGTTTTCAGAGAAACATTTAGAAAATAAAGGGCTTGGAAATTTACCTCCTAATCGTATTACTAGTACTAACATTTTTTCATTCTTAATATATCCTTTGATAAACAGTAATTACTTTTATGCATAAATCTAACCGTTCTGATATATTATGTTTGATGAACTTGGTAAATATAGCAAATAAAAAAAAAGAGAATCTTTATTTGAATATTTTACATTACTAGCAGGTACTAGAATGCGTAGTTCATTTGATGCCTATATGTAATGAAGTATATATTCTGAAACCTACAGCATATTTGTTTTTAAAATAATTTGCACAAGGAGCAAGGAGTTGCTCTATAATTTACAGTCTCATTCGGATGCATTTTAGATGTGTTAAAATCATCCGATAAAAAATCCAGACTTAAATAAATAAAACAGAATCTATAGCAATACCTGAAAATGCATGTTCACGGATGAACATGTATTTTATTCTGATAGCTGTTAGGCTTGTAGCAATCTGCAGGGGATATGAAAATCTGCAGTAGACTTGTACCAGCAATTGCTGCAAAGTGGGTCTAAAAAGTTTTTTGTGAAAAGTAAAAAAAAAAAAATCATATATTATTTCCTCTCTACAGAAAAATGCAAAATAATCATGCTCATGTTAGTGTATTATATATGCCAACACCTAATACCAACAGGTTTTTGCAAGCGGAAAAAATAACAAGCAAAAAAAAAAAAGAAACATTTGAATCAAGTGGTGGAGACATGATCCAAATGTGTTTTAAAACCATTCATCAAATCAAACTGCTGTAGATAGTAGGAGCTGACCTTTCTGTTCTTCAACAATTAGTAACTAGGTTACATCATAAAGGTAAAAACTGATTACAGATTTTATCTTATCATTCCGATTGATAATTCATGATCTTATGTGTTAGAGGTGAGATGCCTCCACAACAAAACAATGGCAGGTCATTATGCTCCCTTATGAGGAGAGGTCAGGGTTAGCGCAGGTCAGTTTCCACCAGGGACACAGATTCCTCACAAAGGAGACACTCTTGTCTCTCTCATGTAAAGAATGCTATGATTACATCCAACTGTAAAAAAAAAAAAAAAAAAAAATGATAGCCACTCTTTTTTGCAAGTATCTGTAAATGGAAAAGTTTGTCACTTCCAGAAAGATGGCAAGAGTATAAAATAAGTCACAATCTTACTCTTTCTTTTAAATTATACTAAAACTAAATTATACTATAAAGGGATTTCAGCTGGATAAAAGTAAACGGATGGTCTTTAAATCCTGCTTTAAACACTGCTGAAATCTAAATAAGGGTGAATTGTCCGCATCCCTAAAAGCCTTTTCAGGGTTGGCCGACGTACCATCGAATGATGCCTCTACGTCATGACACCACAACTTAAACCGGATTATCCTAAGGCGGGTGACATCAGCACCCCCCACCACCCTCCAAGCTCCTCTCCGTCTCAGACCATCTGGAGGTTACTATGGGACATTCCCCTCAGTGAGTTCAGCGGTCAGAGTCGCTGCGGCCGCTTCACAGTCAGCTCTGGCCCGGACTGCAACCCTCCAGCTGTCACCTGGAGCAGGCCGGGATACAGGGGCGGCTCTGTTCCCACGACTCAGACCAGCATTTCTCTGTTGCTGCACACAGAGTTGCAAATAAAGGCTGATTGAACGAAGGCATGGAGATAAAGAAGTAACCATGTTGAATGGAGGAGTTGTAGAAAGCAAATAGAGGATCTGAGAGATTAGCAAAGTTTAGCAATTTATTTCATATTTTCACTTTTAACACATTAGACAGAAACAGTTTGGGACAAAACCCATCATCCGTGTTTCTTACAGAGGATGTTACAAAAGAATGAGCTTTGGTGTATCACCAGGATCAGGTTTGAAACTTGATACAAAACCTATGAATTTTCCATCCTAACTTTAGATAGTGTCTCTTTAATGAGATATCAGAGAATGTAATAGATATATCCCCCTCCCCAACTGGTTGCTGCATACTACCGATCACTTCCTACATTTTACCCCCACATGTGAGGAAATAACTCATCTGCTTTGAAGGCCATGTTGTTGAAACTAAATAAGTAGCACAAACTATCAAGGTAAAACTGTTTAAGTGAAGTTGGCGACCTGTCCCACTTTGTCTTTTTTTTTTTTTTTTATAAGAATAGTGATCCTCTTACCATGAGAACTTCATCATGACCACAAAAAACCCTCCATTACCTTTATGTAATAAAAAGAAGTGCAAACCAATGTTTGGAATGTAAAAAAAAACCCATGAACAATTATTTCTTATTTCTTGTTGAAAGTAGAAGCCCTTTGTTGATAGTTTACAGTGTTGGGATGATTGGAGTACTCCTTCCTCGGCGTTTAGGCCTTCTCATATGTTCGGACTGCTGTGACTCCCTCAAAGGTCAATGTCTAGAAAAAGAGAAGAGATGAAGCAATTAGTTATGTAGAGGTAAAATAAGTCTATGTTCTTTTTATTCAAGTCATATCTTTAACTTCTTTCTAAGAAACAGAAAAAACTGGAATGGCTTGGATTCACTGCTTCATGCATAAGTAGTTTTCAAGATGGCCTCACATCACCATAAAATCACTTATGAAGTTGATGTCTGATTTTAGATGAGGTAGGTTGAAGGGCTATGACATAATTTTATTTGTTCTGGAATTGGGTTCTATGATTTGTAGTTTAAAACCTAGAAATATTTAATCTAGTTTAACCATGGTGGCTCTAGACAGGGTCCAACAGGGGCTGGCTTCCCTGTAGAACTGGTCCTGGTCCTTGTTATGGCCCCTGTACAAAATACATGATAATAAATCAATTTCCTGTGATAATAAGCATTGACACAAACTATAACGATAGGTCGCTTAGACCAATTTAATCTTTATAGCTTTACATTTTATTTTAAAAGCTATTTAGAAATGAAATTGGGTCAGTTTATAGTTCAGCTGTAATAAGATAAGGTCACAGTTTTCATCCGCTAGATAAGGAGTCATCAACCTTGGCATCGTGGGTCACTAATATACCAAATAACGCTCTGTTGCACTGTTTTCTTTGTTTGCTTCATTTCTTTGTTCTGACTCCCCCATGAAAAAAAACATTGCCACCCCCTCCCCTGGTAAATTGGTCTACTAGCAGCACCAAGTTAAAGCCGGAGTTAACTAATCTCAACTATGGACACACTGTATAAATCTCAGCTTAAGGTGTATGTAACTTTGATTCTGTTTATGAGATAAAAAAACATATTTTCTACACCAGTTTGGCATCAAGCACAAACAACCGCATTTACTAAACTAAATGTTTTTTCTTATGTTTCAGGAGACACAGTTGGATTAGGTGCAATAACTTCAAAATAAACATCCAAAATATTAATTCTTCTATTTCCCAAAAATATTGTTAAAATCTCCTTCTTGTTTCAATTTTTTTAAACCAAGTTGGGAACAGAATCAATGCCCAGCAGGGGGGCTGATTAGTTCATTTACTGTCAGTTAAACTCACCATCACCATCTTTCCATCCTTGATTTCTCTAACAAGACTGGTCTCTTTCCCATCCCACTTCTGCCGATGCACTAATTTGTTTCCCTCCATGGTGAGAGTGGACTGAAAGAGAGAAAATCAAACACATCAGCAGCCAAACGGCAACACACATTAAAAAAAAATAAATAAATGTTTTGTGTTTCTTACCTTTACGTGTCGGTCATCAGGTGTGGTCTCATCAAACTCCTCTCCCAGTTTGACAGAAATTTCTGTATTTTTAAAAGTGCTCTGAGTTTTCACCACCACTTTATCCCCATCCTGGCTGATCACTACTGTTGGTTTGGTGACATTGCCCACTTTTCTTGTGGCAAAGCCAACCCCTGCCAAAAAGAAGATGTTGTGTGTTTATACAATAACATAATGCTTGACATAATCTTGATCTCATTAATAAAAATGATAAACAATGGAGAAAATAAATGCAAATTCCTACCTAGTGCCTTCATGTATTCATCAAAGTTCTGACTATCCACCAGTTTCCAAGTTGCGCAGAAAGCTTCAACCATTTTTGCAGATGTTTTAGGTCCTGCTCAGCCTGATACCTCTCACCTCCTCTCAGTGGTTCTCTGCATCCCCTGGGCGACTGCGGGTCACTTTAGTATTGTGTCAAAGGGCGGAGCCTATTTCACAACTCGAGGAACTGATTGGTTGACACAGAAGCAGCGTGGAATTTGATTGGTATTCACAAAACATGCTATTAGAAGAAGATAGAACACGATGGTGGTGCAATAAATCCACCTACTATCAAATGAGAGTGGGAAACAGTGCTGATATCCCGAAAACTCGGTACAAAAGTCACTAAGTAAAATAACAATTATTTAATTAAAAACTTAAATATATATTTCTGCTACAATTTCAAGCTAACTACAAATAAATACGAGAAGAATGCCTGGGATAATAACATCAGACCACAGAGAAATATGTCATACAGAATACTTGTCTTAAATAAAATATCTTTTAACACCTGCAACGATTGGTTTTTAAAAAAATAGGCCAACTTGCCCACTGCCAAGTATAGTAGAGGACCTGTGATGCTGTGGGTCTGTTTCTCTTACAATGGCCTTGGGACCTGGTTAGTGTAAAGCTTTAGGAACTCTTTAAAAGATCATGAGCAAAATAATAGGTTGACTCCATGAATACAGTTAAAGTGGGTCACCGTTAAAAGGAATTAATTGATGAGACACCAAAAATTGTTTCACTATTAACGTCTAAGATATTATTGGTTTAATTTTTTTTAGAAAGTCCCCCCCCCCGGAAAAAATAATAATAAAAAATAATCTAAGGGTTAATTTTTCAAACCTTTTCAGTGTGAGACAATGATGCTGCAATGCACAGGCATAACTTTCTGAAGGACTGGTGTGGACATGTCCCCACCAATAATTTCAATACATAGACTTTGGCAATATGTGGGACAAATTTCTAAATTTGATTTTGCTGCTTTTGAAGGAGGATAATCCCTAATGTAGCTGAAAGGAAAAATATTCATCAATAAATCCACATTTTTCTGGATGGATGAATGAAACTGTAATTTTGTGCATACTTGGGAGGCATGATATATTGCTATTTGCATCAGAATCGGCTGTTATTCATTCTTTTTTATATACATTAATGTCCATTTATAAATATAAATATCAGTGTATTATTGGTTTTTTGTGTTCCCAACAATAGGAAAGCAATTAATTCAATAAATATCTTTGAGCTAATTTTTGGAATATACAAACCCAAAGCATTTGTGTGGAGTAACTGTAGGTCCATCAGCCAGCGCCCTAAGAGTGTCCCCACCAACTTTCATCACGAAGTTACACCCTTGCTGCAACGAAACCTGGATTCCTTTTGATTCATTGTTAAATATTCTTCCAAGGTTAAATACCGCAGGGCGAACAGTTAGGTTGTGTCATCTGTTTGTGAATCGTCCTCCTGTGCCAAATGTCATTGCAACTCAGGGAAAAATTGAACATGGGCAAACAAATACTTCTAGAGCAATTCAAAGAAATCGGCTCTCGTTGCAAAGATTCTACAGACATGAAAACAAGACATTTTCTTTTTCATAACTTTATTATTCATTAAGGACTTTCTTTAAAAGCAGTCACTTTACAAAAAGCACTGCAACAATAAAGCAGACCGATCCTCACTAACAAACAAATATCCAACCAGTGATAAAAAGAATCAATGTAGGGAATACAAAAGAAAAATTACCATTGGTACAAAGCCAAGAAAACAAATGGATCCTGGTGAAGGCAAAACTAAAAACATTTAAAAAAAAGTATAGCAGAAAAACATTTCCCTGAAGTTCAAACATAGCGCATGCAAAATAAAGCCTTAACTATTCCTTAAATGAAATCTTAGATCACATGTTATTCTTCATTTCTTGAGAAAAAGTAGAACTTGGCAATTAATGATCTAGAAAACCCCAGCTGAGGCATTAACCCGGTGCTGAGCTCTTTAAAAAGTAGAAACCATTTATTGAAGGGAGCGGGGCAACAGTTTAGAGTAAGGATAAACGGTGAAGAACAGTTTAAAAGAGGTAGAAGAAGAGGAGTTTGAGAGGTGAATTATGAGGTAGGGAAGAGAGCAGTAAAATCGCTTCTTTACATTAAGGCCCATCTGTTATCTACCCTGAAACAAACACACCAAGTTACTGATCTTAAGATGCCGTGTTTTTATTTGTGCAGCACAGTGGCAGGTTTCTGTTTAAAAAGCGGGCTTAACTTAATCATGTAAAGATTTAGATTTCACAAAGAAAATGTATTTCTAAACTTTATAGAAACAAAATTTAATCCAAAAAAGGAGATTTTTTTTAAAGTTCATTGTTTATACAAACTTTGAAATTTGAGTTGAATAAAAGCTCATCTTTCATCAAGTCTTAGGAGTCTAATTTCATCTGTAAAAAGCCAAATGAAATCAATACAAAAAGGAAAATAAGTCTCCTGATTGACTTCCAACAAACAAATGATACACTAATGGAAAAAAAATGTATTAAAAAGACCTAAAAGCAGTAATACTGCAATAAGAAAATGCATATTACAGAAAAACAGTGCAAAAAATCAAAAGATTGGATATGTGTTCTGAAGGATGACCTGGATGAGAACCAGGAAAGTATTAGGATTTATTTTTGTAATCGTTACACTATTTGTGAAAAAACAGTCTTGTGTAGTATATATATATACAGAGGAAGTATTGGCACCAGATTTATTCAGGAGATTGTCCAAGAGCAACGTGGCATTTTAATTCATATGGACGATGTAATGTCATAGGACGTCCCGACTTGTCTGCGAATCAATTAAAAAGGAGGATGCTATCTGAACTCTCCAACGCTGATGGACAACGGCACCTCTACCTTCCTGGGTTTGTTTTTCCCGGCACCGTTGGAGGCTGCAGCCTGCGCTCTGAAAAATAAGCAAAAGTGCAAGATTTAACCAAAACAAGCTAAATAACTAAAAACAAACATTTTGCACTGAATTCCTGCAGTGTTTTCTTTTTTTAAACCGCATTCCAGTACATCTTTGATTCCCAGGATCCATAAGGCTGTTCTGGTTGTTTTCACAAACAAAATAATGTTTACAGAGATAACAATGGATTCATTTTAGTCCTTTCAGAAATGTACAAATGCATGCATTATAGATTTTAAACCAGATCTGATATACTGTAAGCTGCACTGATGGCAAAAACAAAGTGAAATGATTCATTACCACAGAATGGGAAACTCGTTACATCTTTATGTGATTTCATAAACCAGTGTAAGGAAAGTGTTTTATTTGATGAGAAATTGAGATTTTCGTGTATATAGAAAGAGGTCCCACCCTTTCCTGCGTTGCTCTGCCTGTTCCCTGAGCCTCTGCTGGCCCTGCTGATCCTCTTCTGTGATGAAGTCCCTGTTATTGTCAATCAAAAGGTTCTGAGGGAGGAAAAACAAACGGAGGACCAGATATAATACCTATCTTAGGAAGACCAGAAAGACTTTAAAAGATAAAGGGTTCTATTGATACCTTAATACCAATCACATCTCCATCTCTAAGGTTAAATGGCGGCCCCAAAAGGGATTCTGCCTTTTTCTTTTTCTTCTTTTTAGAAAACTGCTGAGTCTGAAAGGAAAAAGATGCATCATATAGCCAATCAGCTCTTACTGTTACAGCAAACATCCCTAATGCAACATTCCTTCCCAGCTCTTTCAGGTGCACAAAAAAGACAAAATCCCAGAATGTATATTTTTCTATTATGCATACCCAGTTGGAGATTTCTTCCCAGGTGTGTTTTTCAGGCTGATGTTTGGCGAGCAGCAGAGAATCGGGAGAGAGGCCGTAATGCGCAGCCAGACTGGTGCGCAGAGATCGAGGAGAAGAGTCCTTGGAAGTGTCCCAAACCAGCTCCTCTGTAGGATAATACCTCCTCTCTCCTGGAACACCCATCTTTACATTCAGCAGCACCTGTTTCGGCCTTTAGATCAGCAAAAATAGCATTTTTAAACTAGACAAAAGGGAGAATTCTGCTTTTATAAAAGTAATTAAGTTGTGAAATGAAATGAAAATAAATATAAAGCAGCAATAGAAGAAAAAAAACAAGTCCATCAACAAAACTCACCCAAGATCTTCCTCTTTGAGGAGGCCCTGCACACAAAGATCTGTCTCACTGGTCAACTTCAGCTTCCTGAGCACAAAGATAACAAACTATGTAGGAAAAAGTCCAACTCAAAGCAATCGGCAGCTGTCGTCCAACAAAACCATTTGGCAACAAGAGGGCATTAAGATTTTAGACCTGAGTGTAACTTGTTGTCCTCTAAGTATACGTGTTGGACGCCCTCCGTCCATCTGCCAAACACGCAGGAAACTAGTGACCGGGACACATACGTCCTGGAGTGCTGGTAGCGTCAAAACCTAAAGGAAAGAAGCAGGTTACAATTAAAATGGTTCATATTATACAGCCTACAGTGTGAAAGCAAAACGTAATCCTGTCCATGTTAACCTGTTGGAAGACGCTGATTAGAGGAGTATATACTGGACTTTACTCAGAGGGGAACCTTTCAAGGTAGCAGAAATGTATATTATATTATATATTATATTTGGGTGATAAGTCAAGAAAGTTTCTATTTTCTAATACAACTCCTCAGATTGGACGCCAATATAGAGCTAGAGATGCAATTAATCATTATTTTTCAAATCAATTAATCTGTTAATTTTTTTGATTAATAATCAGATAGCTAAACGTTCCTTAAAGAAGATATTTTATTAATTAAACCTGGTGAAACCGGGCTGCTCAGTGACACAGTGGGTAGCAATGCCGCCTTGCAGCAGGAACATCCGGGTTCGATGCCTGGCTCTTTCTGCATGGAGTTTGCATATTCTCCCTCAGCATGCATGGGTTCTTTACTGCGGTTTAAAGGAATAGTACACCCAAAACATGATTAGCCTTCATTTTCTACTCACCCCCATGCTGAACAACACTCTGGAGTACTTTTTTGATATCTCAAATGCATCTGGAGATCTGGGAGGCTTCTTGCTGTCTGCTGACATTCAAATAACGGAAGTCTATGGCGCCCGAGGCAGAAAGGTCCATAAAAGTCCACAAAAAACGT